TTTTTTTTTTTTATAAATAGGTCTTAAAAATTCATGCGATAAATTTTTATCAATACTGGCATAAATCGTAATCCTTCTGTTATTTTATATTTTTGCCTTTTTCAAAATAATTCTAAGAATCATTGTCAATATTATATCATCGTGTTAGTTAACGCTATATATAATATGAAGTGCAATTTACGAGTTACCTGGATAGCGTATTGCAAATCATTGTCTATAGCAAAAAAAGACTGAAAATCGTTTTAACTTGTATATATATAAAAAAAATTAGACGCGTGATGAAAAAAAATATATACATATAAATATGCGAGAAGAAAATGATTTATTCTATATCATAAGATATATAATATAATTATCTTTCTTTGGAAAGACTTAGCACGTCCACTGAGCGAGTTAGGCTAATCTGTGATTAAGTGGACCCAAGTGTATTTTTCATAGCCATTTGTTGTCCCATTTACTTAAGTATCATAAGGAAATATGTAACTTTGATCTTTTTTTTTTTTAAAATATACACATTAGCCTTACATAATCTGAATATATCGTCTCTTTTTTTTAATACTGTACAATTTATGATCTACCTATTTTTACCTTGTCAATGAAATAACACTAAAAGAAACAAGCAACAATACATGAAAACATTAATCATATTACTATAGTGTTTTCCAGCGTTGTTTTCAGACTTTAATTTCATATCCGACTTTAATTTCATAGCGTGTGCAATAACAAGTGCAACATAGCTTTGTTCATGTACACTATGAAATAAGTGAGCATACGGACCTAAAAGATAAATATTTGTTTAAACTTAAATTTCTCAAGTTGATTGTTGTGAATCATCGAAATATGTATATACCTATAGCATAGATAGCTACGTCACCACCACCATGATAAGCTTCATCCGATATTATAGTTGCCTGTTGACTATACGTGAATTCTGTTGTATTTTCTTTAGAAGGATCTATCCTAACAGAATTAGAATTATTAACTATATACGCCATATTATTCGGTCCACCTGTGCTGTAACTCAACGTAGTATATGGGATTCCGTCGATTTTAGATTTCTGAGCTATGCCTGTAACATAAATTACAATTATATTTGCATAATTCTCAATTCATTACGTTTAACTTAAAACATATATTATTGTAAAAATTATGTACCTAGAATGTGTGAACCTCTATCACTATATCCATTAAAGCTCATCGAATGCGTATGATCACTGGTTACGATAACAAGTGTGTCTTGCGTATTGATCATTTTCAAAGTTGCATTAATGGCGTCCGAGAACCTAACAGTTTCTAATAATGCTTGTGCAGCGTGACCACGATGATGAGCAAAATCAATAAGTCCTCCCTCAACCTAAAAATTACCACTTTATATATCCAATTAATACAAGATGTTCTCGTTTAGTAAAATAAAGATATACCACGAGAAGATAACCATATTTTGATTTCTGCAAAATTTTCAATGCGGTCACAGTCATATCTTCGAGACTCGGCTGCCCTTTGGGACCTTTTTTTCTATTCCAGTCCATGCTAATATGACCATTTGCAAAAATTCCTAACAAGTAATCGATTTTATCAACGTTTACACGAGATAATTCTTCGTTATTTTGAACAACAGAGAAGGCCAATCCTCTAGAGGATTTGTCTCGTTTCCATTCCTCGATTAAATCTTTACCATCCTGTCTGTGACCAGCCCACTCGTCTATAGGATCATATTTAGTGCCTGTAGCATTTGTCTTGAGCATTTGTCTACCACCTCCCATAATTACCTAAGTCAAAAATACAGAGTTACAAAGATACAAAATTAACATTTTTTTATCTATCGATTTCGAATGTTTCATGCAATTGAATTAATATATTTAACAAAAGATGAAAGATGATGTACTTAACAATCTCTCAAATTGATGCGAAACATTCTACTGAACAATCAGGATATATTATAGTTTGCCTTGATATTTTTTCCTGGCAGATCTTCCACCAATTGTCTGGCGATGTCTTTGCATTTTTCAGCAGTCTTCGGCATTTTTGACTCGCATTCCCATCGCCTGTTCGCGCTGTGCGCATATAAAGGTGCTGGAGTTGCATGGGTCACCCTGGTAGTTGTCACGAATCCTATAAAATCATAATTTGAATTCTTATTCCTGTAGAAAAGATTCTTATTTATTTTTATTCAATTTATTCTTACTACCTGTATCTTTACCAACACTCTGCGCCCATGAAACAATAGAATCCACATGATAATCTGTTTTCAAACTCTCAGAGCAATTGTTTAATGCTACATTTGCATCCAGTCCAACTAGATCAAAATTCGTTTTTACTCCACCAAACAAAGCAGTTGCCGTTGAAGCTGAGTCTGGTACTTGCTTGTTAGTATTGTACGTCTATTTTATTAAAAGCTAATATTAGTTATCTTTTCTGTAATCGTTTTTAAAAGATTAATAAGAATGAAGACCTTAAGAATGCCTATGTGAGGAAAATTTTCCCAAGCTAAACGACTAGTTTCGCCAGCACGGTATATTCTACTGGCGGTTATGGTGTCAGGACTCATGCCATCGCCTACAAAGATGATCACGTTCTTCGCTTTGTTCGTGTTCCATTTGTATGATAAAGCTTCCTCCAATTCTTCATTAGCCAATTCTCGCCAATATTGAATATCTGAATAAAAGAAAAAATTCTGATTAAATAATTGAGTCTCCGTCTTTTGGATCTGTTTACGTGGCACGTACACAGCACGTGTATTTTGCATAATGATAAATAAATAGGACGAACATGATAGCTGTATAAATAAAAATTCATATTTTGAATAAAGAATTATAATTGTGATATTTGTTCGCGGAAATGATTATTTTAGATATAAATACTTTAACAAGACCAATGAAAGGAAATATAGAGATTATAAGAGAAATATTATTTGTACTATTGTTATTATTGGAAGAAATCAGTTATTTTGCTGATTGCAGAGTTGCTTATAATTACAAAATGTGCACGAATTAATAAAATTTAGTTATACCTTCTTTCAATGTAGCAAAAACGATTCCAACAAGAGAAAAGCTAACGTATAATGTGGTGAATTTAGTTTTTAACATAATGAAATATTACACTGATTTGAACTGCGTGTCTGATAATTACATGAGTGTCATAAGTGTTATTACATGATACTGAGCATGAATAGATAGAATATAAGTAATCATCTAATTTTTATGATCTCGTAACGCTCTCTATTGTGAAACGCATTGTATTAAATCGATAAGGAAGAAACCTATTTTATTTCTGAATTTTTTTATCATTTTTTTTTTTTTTTGATAGGATATTTTGATAGGTTGATCGGATGAAAAAATTGACTGGATTAACTAACATTCATTGTAACGTTTTATTTGATTTTTGTTCATATTCATCGTCTGTTCGTACAGATCGTAACACATCGCACAATCTCTAAAGAATTATTTTTCTTTTCTTTTCGCGTGTCTGACTCTGTTTTGAACGAAATTAAAAAAAAAATAGAATTGATAAAATCCACCATTCGAAAAGTTTTCTCCATTTGAACCTGTTTTTTACCTTGAACATTTAATTTGATTAAAAAAAAAAAAAAAAACGTACGGTAAAAAGAAAATATGAAAAATGATTTGTCTTCACGCGTTCAAAACAATATTTTTTTAAAGATTCATCAAAGGAGCAAGTTCCATTATGCTATTAGATTATCATCTTAATCCATCAATTCCTACAATTAAATAAGTTTATAAATTTTGATTTTTTTCAACGCGAAACTTACTTCTCGATGCAACTTTCGATTAAAATAAAAGAAAATCATCTATTAAACAAACAAATGTTATGTTTCCTCTTAACGTTAATTAACATAATTTAATTTAATTAAGTTAATTTATATTTGGCCAAGAACAGGTACCTTGGAACGAAATAAAATCATTGAAAATTACGAGAATACGTTCTGAATCGGCACTCGAGATTATATCCTTCGATGGATCCTTTCACTGTCCATATCACACAAATTGATCATCCAGGCAATTGTTACGCGAGTATTATGCTGGAACGCGACACGATCTTTCGTGCCTGTAATTGTGGCCAACTATTTGAACTGTTCGAGGTTACTTTTAGCACTTTTAGCTTCGTTCACCCGGATGTGCTATTTCTCCAATTTTTCTCGTCGATTATTGAACATCGATTGATCCACAAGCTTGGTGATGATAAAACTGGGAGAATAAAAGACGAGCTAATTAAAACATGGTGGATCAGACGCAAAGCGGAACAAAATTCTCTTCTTTGAAGGGAAGGGAATTGGAATAGTTGGCCACGATTTCTTTTGAAGGAGAAAAAAACATCACTATCGTATAACTCTCACTGTGACAATTGGCCTAATATAAACTCTCTACAAATCTCTCTTACACGATAAAGTACAATAAAGTTATCCTCGTATTGAACGCGATACATGCACGTCGCGCTGTATCGATTACAGACGCCGCACGATTCATCTCTCTCTCTCTCTCTCTCTCATCCACTATTCTCTCTCTCTTTTTCTAGTTGAAATATTATTGCCAACAATTTTTGTGTCTCGAGATATTTATAAGTTTGCCTTCCCTTTCTTAAATAATTCTTCCAAATGCTACACGAAAAATCTTCGTAGCTCAACAATCCTTAATTTATCTCTTTAATCCGCATTTATACAGCATCATCATCTCTACTATCGTCTATCGAAGCATTTCAGATCTCCTATCATTCTCGATCCTCTTATTTTCAGATCGATCGATATAGTAGATCGCAATCTAAGAACCATGATCTTGTAAACGCGTAGAAGTGACGCCAGGAAGGCCAGGATTTACAGCCGGATCATATGATATTGCCATATAATTTCTTACGATCCGACAAAGATATAATAAAATCGCTGAACCTTGGAGTCAATTCGTTTCTCGTTTCTCTCTATCTCTTTCGAGTTTCAGGCCACGTAATATCGAAGAATCGTACGCTGAAATCGTCTCAGCAAAAATATCTACCTGCAGCGTCCGTTTTTATTGAAATTATACATATACGTACACGATAAAATTGACTTTACGATGGCAGAAAACACACACACTCTCTCTCTGTCTCTCTCTCTCACATACACACATACATACATTTTCTTTCTCTCCTTCTCTCTCTCTTTCTCTATTTCTGTAATCTATCTATCTTCTCGAAAATTTCCTTTGCTTTCTTGCTTCCCTCTCGTCTCTCTCTCTCTCTTTCTCTCTCTGTGTCTCTGTCTCTCTCTCTCCCCCTTTTTTTTCACTTTAGATTCGAGAAAGTCTCGCGAACGCAACGAAACGATTCGAAATGTGAACGCGTGAAGATTTCCTTGACACTGTTCCCTCGAACCCTAGAAAGAAGCGCGCGTGCTTCTTTTTCTTAATGGAGTTCGAGTGGCGCTCGAGCGACACGAGCTCCTTCAGAATAGAATAATGCCGTCGATTACGATTGCATGCTTACGTGAAATGCTCGGCTCGTTTACCGGAATGGAAACCGATGTAACAGGTAATAATTGACAGTCTACGTTACACGCTAATTGGCAGCGTCCTCGAGTTTAACTTCATCATCGGCTCGACGCGACAAGATACGAAACCGGTCCCCCGACGAACAGACACGGATTTTCACGTTGTAGATGAAGTTGGAGCAAAGACGCCGAGTAAAATGCATTAATCACTACTGATATGTGCGCGATGATTTTTTTATCTCGGATACAAACAAAGAGATCGTCTGTCGTGTCTTTTTCATCGCAATCACATCCGCGACGAATCAAAGAGATTTCCTATTCGAGCGCGGATGGATTCGTCTATGCGACAGAGTTATCTTCTATCGTTCGAACGGAGGAAAATTGGAGACTTTCTCGACCGTTTTTTTTTTTTTTTTATTCTTTGCGAGAAAAATTTAACGCGAAAAAAAAATGACACGCGAATGAACGAAATCAAAGGAAAGGAATCGATCGAACTTTCCTTTCTTTTTTTCTTTTTATAAAAAAGATAACGATGAAACGCTTATCCTTCGAATCAAAAACGATCCGATCCATGATTTAATAATCGATATTCCTCGCCTTTCCTCGCAAAGTTCGATCGTTCGAGAAATCAAAATCACCGGCAGTGGGTAAATTAGGTCAAGTTAGGAGGAGGACGAGCAACGTTATTTGAACGTTATGAAGGAATATTAAAAAAAGAAAAAAGAGAGAATGACAGAAGAACGGAAGTAGGGAGTAACGAATAGAAAAAAAGAAAAACCGAGAATTCTTCGCTTCATCGAGAGATTGTCTCTGATCGATACTCGCTGCTGATCTTATCATTCCATTTCGAAATTCTTCTCGTCTCGTCTCTTGCTTCCCTTCCTCTCTTTTCTCTTTTCCTCGCATCTCATCGCTCTTTGTAAACATCATTGTCGCGCGCTGTAAAAAAATTGCTTTTGATTTTTGGCTGCTTGAGCTTGGCTCTCGAGCGATGCTGGCTCGCAACGATAAATCACTATCACCTCTTCTTATCGAACTGAAGAAATGAAATCAAAAAAAAAAAAAAAAAGAAAAAAGAAATCTCAAAATCTCGTATCCCGTGTCAAGAACGAAAAGACCATCGGTCTGTCTAATAATAATGCGAGAATATCGATCAAACATTTATTAATTCTATCCCCGAGCATCATTTTATCCAGTATCGCTCATCGAACCGAAGGGTTGAAAAAGTAGGGGCAGGGACAGGGGGGCGAGAACAGTTTCAAAGAGGTTTAATCGCGGGATTAGTCTCGTAACCGTGAATCGTGTATACTCCGTGATATTCAACCTACTTTTTCCTCCTTCATTCGCTTCTTTCTTATACCCGTGCTGCTCGAAATATCACGAATATAACATTTAATACGTTTCGCAATTTCCAACTCTTATTCGTCAACACTTTTCGACACCGAATCGATCGTCAAGCGTCGAATTCTTCTTCGAAGAATTGGATTACACAATTTCTTCCATTTTCGATATTAATAATTTAAAACTATTAGTAGTTTGAATACCAGAGATTAGAATAACACCCAAAGAGAATATTACGAGTACTGTAAAGTTCATGAAACACGGATCGCTTCCCGTCGAACGAGTAATTTATCAGTTCCGCTCAGTGGAAAGGGTTACGAGGATAAAGAGGACTCTTTGAAATAGCGCCTAGGGCAACGTGGCAAAGGGTAATAGTTTTGCAAGTAGTTGATCGATTAATTAAGCTTCTCGAGCCTTGTCTCGAGAGAGAGAAGAGGATTTAAACGAATCGATAAAACGCTACTCATCTACGATAATCACGAAGTCGATAAACGAGGCACGCACTGCACTCGAAACTCTGCTTTCGTCCTATCTATCTATCGTATTGTACTATGGTTATTTTTTTTCCCTTTTCTTTTATTCTTTTTTATCTTTTTATTTTCTTTTTTTTATTTATTTATTTTTTTTTTTTTTTACTTTTTTACTTTTTTTCCCTTCAAACTCTGTTAGAATAAACATCCTTCCGCGTGTTCTTAATCGAACCCTTGCCTTAGGCTTATCGTCGTGGTATATGTATACCGTGAATTGCGTTCGTCTACCTCCCCCCCCTGAGTGAATACACTCGTCTCACAAGTATGCACGTACGTATACAGGAGTACGTATTCGCGAAGGGAACAGGATGAAATAATAATCGATCGGCAAGGATGAAAACGAGAAAAAGAAAAGAAAGAAAACTATGGATACTTTTTGATCGGTACTCGATAAAATGGAATTTCTTTTCACGTTTGATGATCCTCATCGCTTTCCACATTTGTTCGAAATTTTCTTCGTGGATAATCGTCGTGGACGAAGAACGAAACAACGATGAATTTCAATGTTAACAGGAGTTTTTCTAACGAACTAATATGCACGATCGAGTATGATTCGTTGAATGAAGAGTAACTTCAACGACAAGTTTTTCTTTCCTTCCTAGAAATGTGACGAACTGTGCGGGGAGATTAATAATAACTGCGAATCAACAAACTACGTACTCGAAAGTATTGTCCGTGAAGCAGATATTCGAGAATTTTTGGTGTTCGTAGACCAACCAACCTAGAAATGACCGATTTCGAGTTGGTGGTCGAGTAGTATGATGATCGACGATGATCCTATAAAAAAAAGTAACGACAAAACGTCACGAGGTTACTGTTCCTACAAAAAGGAAACGCCCAGGATAAAGGGTTATAGATTACGCGATAATCAAATAATAGCAAACGTAGCGCTACGCTTTTCTCTCGAGTCTTCCTATCGATTAGTATTATTAGTCCGCGATAACTCGATATGACAGGTTACTATGTTTGGCCGCTTCTAGGTTTTCTTAGATATACGTTTTTTTTTTTTCTTTTTTTTTTTTTCTATCGCCGCTATACGTTCTCATCACATCCCTCGGGAATTGGCATCGGTTCAAGCTGTCCCGCGAAAACTCACTACCCACCTCGCCCTTTTATAAAACGTTAAAATGCCTTATATCCTAATTGTTCTTTAAATAAAGCGGTAAATATATAGTCGATAAATAGACCCTTCCTCTCCGGAATGAAAACGCTATTATTACGGTAGACACCACTGCCTACTTTGAATCATCGAAATGGCCGCGCGTCTCGAGAAGAACACTAACTAGACCCTAAGAATTACAAAATGCTCGTGAATCTTTTGATTTCTTTTTTTTTTTTTTTCGTTTTCTTTTCTTTTTTATTTTTTTATTCTCTTTCTTTGATAACGATCGCGTCCACGACACAGCTTGAACGTGCCCCGAGCGCGATGAGATTAGATCCTATAATAGTATTTCTTTTAAATCCTTTTTTTTTTTTTCTTCCAGGCTTATCGATCGTTCTTGATTTTTCTACTTGTCGTCCCTACTCGAAGACTACTTTTCCTCCCTAAGGAGGGATTCTTCGGCCTCCTTTCGCCTCGCCTTCGCTTCCTTCTTCGCCCTCTTCTTCTCCTCCTTGGCCAGCTTCTTAGCCTCCTTCTGCCTTGTCTTCTCCGCCTTCTCCTCCTCCTTCTGACGAGCCTTCTCCGCTTTCTCTCGCTCCTTCTCCCTTTCCTTTTCCTTCTTCGACTTCTGGATCTCTTGGACCACCGACAACTTCGGCGCCGATTGAGGCCTCTTCGACGTAGATTTCGTCGATGACGAGGACGTCGAGCTGGACACGTTGCTCGAGTCCCTGGGACTCGGTGACGCTTCCAGTTGAGTCACAATTTTTTGAGCACATCTGGAGGGCGCGAATAAAACCGTTAAAGACGACGAAATATGAATATATATGTGTATATATTTATAAAAATCCAATTTAATTTACCACCTTATCCTAGTGGATGCTTTTCCAGCGCGATAGTCTCTTTGGAATTCCTTGATAGGCGGCAATCTACGATCCCGATTTTCCCTCATCACCTCTTCCTCCTCGGCGACCTGTTGAACCGGATCTTGATACTCCTGATTAGATACAATTAATACAAGAATGCGAGATTAACGATTTTAATAACAATTCACTTAGGATTCTTAGGACGAGCTCTTAACGGACCTGAATTCTCATTTTCATAGATTGCGTTTGGGAGCGTCTCAAAGTCGCGCCGGAAGGTTGCCTCACCCTCGTAGGTTTCCCAAGATTCGAACTTCCCGTGCTACTTGCAGAGGACGAACTCGAGGAAGACACGGAAGACACTCCTGCAATGCGAATGAAATAACGTTTCATCACGTGGATCAAACGAGTTTCGCCATTTTCGTCGTTTTCAACCAACCGGAAATGGAGGATGAACCGCTCGCCATTGAGTAGAGGGAGGCGGATGCCGGGACGCTTCCAGCGACCCATCTTCCACCGGGTCCAGTCACTCCAACGGGCACTCCCGTCCCCATATTGTACTCCGAGGCGCTTTGCGGCAGGACCCACGACTTTCCTGACATCGAGTACTGTAAAATATCGAACGATCGAGAAGATTTGTCGTGAAAAATAAAAAGAGGGAAGAGGAAGGGCACGCGTTAAACGAGGAAATTTCGCTCGCGTTCAAAGTGACGTTGAAAAATTTCCTTTGAACTTTTATCGAAATTTAAACGTCGAATTATTCACGGATCGTGGGCTCGTGCACAGGGAGATTGAAATTTCGCGAGATTAATTGCAGGATTGGCGATATTTATTAAAACCGTTTCGAAAATAGTCGTGTCGCACGAGGGGGGCTATTCGACCTCGCAGCCAAGGCGACGAGTGGTTTCCGAGCTCGCTCCAATTAACGACAATTTTACACTCGTGTGCGATCACATCGACGAGCACGAATACCACCGTTATTCCGGTCGCGTTTTCTTCTTTTTTTTTTTTTTTGCATCTGTGATGAAAAAAAAAAAAAAAGAAAGGAAGAAAATCGCGCCTCCAAGTAATCGCAAGTAAGATGCAACGCGTCGTCGAGCGTCCCTCGAGGGGGAGAAACGAGAGGGTGAGAGTTGCGGTGATTAAAAAAAGCTGTGTTGATTATTTGCACTACTTACGTCCCGTGGGATGAGGGTTTGTTTCAAACGTAGAATCTTTGCTCTGCATATCACGCATCTCAAAGGTAAGAGCCTCTGCGACACGGCCATTTGTATCGTCTTGACGAAGCAACGCCTGTGTGATCGAAACAGAGAATATAGGGTAATAACCAAATTGTATAAATTGTTTGATCCAAAAAAAAAAAAATATCTTTTACCTGCAAACGACCCGATGACCACACGGAGCTGTTTGCATCGTGGCTCTGGCGTTCACACAGATCACGCACTATGAAGGAAGAAAGTGAGATTTTAAAATTAATATTTCATCTCGACTAACCGTAATTAATTAATTAATTACTTAATTCCATCTTTCTCGACTCCCATGTTTGAGATCCACGCGAGGGGGTGAAAGATAAAATCCGATGAAATCCCTTCCGGGAGTTTCCGACTGGTCAGCGGAAATTTTCAACGACTAAGGGAGTAACAACTTCGAAACAGCAGGGGATCCCTATCTTCCTCAGGATAATAATTCTTCCAAGGAAGAAATGGAGTTTCATCGTAAGGATTCAAATGGATGGAATTTTCATTACACGGATGTTTAAAAGACACCAAAAGACAAAACTCGAACAAGAATTTTTTCTTTTTTAATCAATCGATTTATTCCAACATTTTTAATCTAAACTACAACATACAGTAGTCCCTTGACCATATCTAAAACGATCCTACTTATAACTATCTCATAGTTATGCTGAACCATGCTGAATAACTGTTGTCGTTCCTAGTTTGCTGAAAAAAAAAAAAAAAAAGAAAAAATACATCATACCATTCAGTATCATTCCGATCAACGAGAACTCGTTAAATTCTCATCGACGATATATTATTTTTTTTTTCTTTTTTTCTTCACGTACCCGAACTTCCTCCACCAGCTTTCGCTCCAAAGTTAACACCCATGCTAACTCCACCTTCCATACCACCTCCCATACCTCCTGGCAAAGGATTTTGCGCCGCTCTCCTACTTCTCACTTGAGGCGGCCTATTTGGCATATCGCCTCCCATCTCATTATCCATGTCGTCCATACTTCCTTGCATAGAACTTTGAGCCCTTCTCTTGCTCCTCAACTGAGACGCGCCACCTCCCATACCACCTCCAACGCTACCTCCCATGCCACCTCCCATTCCTCCTCCCATGTCGCCCATACCACCCGGCATAGGCATATTTTGAGCCGCTCTCTTGCTCCTCAACTGAGACGCGCCACCTCCCATACCACCTCCAAAGCTACCTCCCATGCTACCTCCCATGCTACCTCCCATGTCGCCCATACCACCCGGCATAGGCATATTTTGAGCCGCTCTCTTGCTCCTCGATTCCTCCATAGTCGACGACCCTTGATCGATCATATCCTCTGGAGGAGGCCCCGATGGAGGAGGCCCCGATGGAGGAGGTCCGGGCGGAGGTGGGCCGTGCGGAGGTGGACCGTTTGGAGGGCCAGCATCGTCGGGGCTACGTTTCTCCCGACTGCTGCTATCGCTAGAAATGCTCGAGTATTCGGACGACAATGCTCCGACCAACTAATTTAAAAGTATTAGTTATTTTTAAGTCGAGTTCCATTTTTATCGGGAATAATTATTGATAATAATTGAAAGAAGGATTCGATAAGCGAAAGCTTCGAGAAATAAAAAGGTGTTGCTTACAGAGAGGCCGAGGAGAGCGATGGCGACGAAGAGAAGAAGATGCTTCATGTTCACCGACGTTTTGACACTGGTCACTGTCTCACACGGATATTTAATCCCCTCTGGGGATAAATAGTTACAATTCGCGACGTAATTGCGCGAAAACTGGAGGTGGCAATGGAGAGGTTAATAAGGGAATCACGGTCGTTCTCATTGCCACCTTCTTGCCTTCCATCGTATTGTATTTTTTTCATTGGTGATCGCAACTTGTATTTTTCCTTTGTTTTTCGCCTCGGGAATAACAAGCGGAAACAATGGAAGGATATTTTTCGTGACCGTGGTGGTTCTTCTTCGAGGTGTTGTACCGGAACGAAGATGGACGGATGATAATTGGTGTCGTGTCGTCTAGTTATCACCCGTCCAATCGTTTATCTAACGCTCTTTTAACAACAAATTTATCTTTTCCCAGGAAGTCAATTTGCTGGTAATGACAACAATGCCGAGTGATTTTCAACTTACGTAACCATTTATTAACTCGAACAATTTGTTATTTAATAAGAAATATATCAATCGATCTCTTCCGATCCACCTTTGTTGTTTCGCATCGTCAAATATCTCTTCGAGGATCGAGTCGTGCACCGAACGTAGCAATCTTCGAACGATATATTCCAATCGGCAAACGAACGTGCCCGCATCCAAGCAACAACATAATTAAAACAGAAGATGTTCGTTCGATCGTTCAAGGATTATAATCGGCACGACCACCAAGTAGCGTCGATTAAATTGGAATATTAATAGCCGCTCGAGGGTGGATAGACACGTCAGGAGTCGCAGGGTCGTCGTAGCTACCACTTTGTCAGCTTCGTTAATCGACTTTCGCGAGCCATTGAACAAGCCTATTCGCTCGGAAATTGTAATTTTTCTGGACCAACGACTGTCTTCGAAAGAAAGGCTTGCCTCTCTTGTGCAGCCCCCAGTCCATTTGACCGTCGAAAATTGCACCCTCTGTGTGTGTGTCGGACCCCCGTTCGTAGCATTTAATTTCATTCTGGGTCACTGTACTCCTTCCATCTCATTTTCTTTCGTGATCGCGAAAACAAGTTTTTAAAATAACTCAGCGAGAATCAAATTTTTTCCCCTCCTCGAAAATATTTTCCACGCGAAAAATTCGAATCCACCTTAACCAACTCGGACAGTTCTCTATTAATCCTTGGATCTTGATGAATCAAAAAAGAAAAAAAAATATCGAAAAATCTCGATTGCCGAACCGAGACTAATTCCACGATAATTCGACGCCACCTGGAATTATCAAGAGATTCCTTCCCTTTCTTCGTTCTCTTTTCTTCGAAATTTCATTTCCACCCCCGCCAATCAACGCCCTTCTCCTTTGGCGAAAACGACGAATTAGCCTTTGGATTGTGCTTTTTGTCCCAGCCGGCGAGGTAACGAGGTTATCTCGAGCAACCTCGAAGAAAAAAGAAAAGAGTCGAAAAATGCAGCTGACCTCGGCCTGCGCTGGGACCCCAACACTGGGACCCCTCGTTCCACGGGATGATAATTAAATCGAGGGTAACCTTCCAACGGTAAATTTCTTTCGTTCCACGGCAAGATTAAGTGGTAATTCCCTCCTCCCCTCCCCCTCTGTGATTTTTCATCCAATCGAGATATCCGATTCCAGCGAGGCCAATTCAACCGAGAATCCTACCAATCTTCGATCGATCTTTAAAGTAATCGCAAGAAATCGTTTACTCACCTCGTCTTCTTGAGAGGAGGCTAATTCCGGCTCGTTTTTCTCGAGCTTGGTCAACAGCTTGTCCTGAAAACAGAAAATATATATCCGATGAATGA